GGGGGGCGAGAAGTGTTTAAGTGACTTACGAAACTTGTAGATTCTGGCACATTGCGAGAGCTAATGTGCAAAGTCACTAATAAGTTGCCCACGTAAAAAATGGAATTGGTCATCAGAACTAATAATGAGTTAATTTCTGGACGATCGATAAATATTAGCTGTGGTAACAGTTGTCAGAGCCTAGAGTTGATTGCTAAAACAAAGCATGTCGATTCAGCAGCCAATTCTTGGTTATGCTTTTATGCTGTTCACCGAATAGCCTTTTCTGGCAACTTAATCTTGGTTACGACAACAAATTAATGGTCGTACCTCAACAATTTGTTGATCGATTGTCCCGAAATTAACTTTTATTTAGTTCCGACAACCAATTCATTTTTTCCCGTGCGTATCTTCCATGACGTGAGCTCCAGTCACGAAATTAGTCACAACCACAAAATATCTCCTCGTTCTGTAGTGTTTGGAAGTCACACACGTGATGTAGCGGCACAAGACTTTTAATAACCCTCGCAAGACATTGGTTTACTTTCCACTAGAAACCTCCTCACCCGCGACTCCCCGAGAAGGGCCTCCTCCTGGGCTGCTTCTTGCCGTTGAAGAAGGCGCCCTTTATGCTATTGTGGGTGACCTTGTCGAACTTGCGCCTCTCTGGAGTGCTTCCCTTGGAGGAGCCAGGGGCAAGGCTGTGAATGCTGCCGCCCGAGGACGACGACGCCGCCGCCGATGATGACGAGGATGACGATGACGATCTGCTGCAGCCCGCCTTCTGGGTCGACCCAAGGCAGCCCCCCGGGGTCGGGTTGCCGAAGACGGGTGCCTGCGCGTCAGACCCACAGTGCCATGAGATCACCCACCCTACCCACCTCCCGGTCCTACCACCCAGGCTAAAAAGTAACCAGAGGGAAGGCCATGGTGAAATATCAATTATGGTACTACATGGTAGTCCATGGTCCCTTGTGGTTTAATGTTGATTAACCATAGTATTATGGTCATGGTAATCCATAGTAACCATGAGACACCATGGTTAAAGGTTGGGAAAACTATGGTTTAGAAACCGGAAACCATAATCCAGCGTCAAGTTACCATGTTATTATAGCTCCTAGTGAACAAGATAACCACAGTTATTTTAGCCTGGGTAATGTGAGGAAAACTTACGGTGAACGCGGCCAGCAGGGCCGTGGTGAACAGAGCGAGAAGTAGGAACCTCATGGTGGACGAGACAGATATCTCGATGAAATGCGAGAACTGGGCCGACCTTATATAGCACCAACGGCGCTCCACAAAAAAATGCACGACAGTAAGACAAAGTGCGCGAAAAACAGGTCGAGCCACAGTCGTGAAACTCGTTAATCCGTCGTGCAGCGAAGCATTTAAGATCGTCTCTACTCTAGGGCGACAAGTGGACAATTCTCCGAAAACGTTAAGTGTTTGGCCGTTTAGTGATGTTTTAGGAAAGGAAGAAAAAAAGGAAAAGAATTAAAATACGAAAGTTAGAGGTCAGTAAGCATGGTCGCTGGTAGCGCTCTGCTACGGCAGGCAGCACAAGTTTCACATATACAATGCAGACGACGGCACTGATGCCTATCAAGAGATATTATTATTGCACCTTTTATTGATTTTAGACAGTCCTCAAGAGAGTGTCTGCACCAGAAGGAAACGTGCCCCACCCCCTCGCTCTCTCCCCTGTACAGAGCAGGGCAACACGGGTGTTCGGTTGTGGCGACGGTGCGTCGTTGTGGCAGGTTATCGCTGGGCTCAGTTTGCCCCCCCCCCTTTGCCCCTAAAACCAGCCTCCTCTCTCGAACTCAACCGGCCAGAGACAAAAGAGAGAGGGAGAGAGTGACAGAAAATACGAGAGAGAGAGAGAGAGAGAGAGAGAGAGAGAGAGAGAGAGAGAGAGAGAGAGAGAGCGGATAGTACAGTGGTAAGTGCGATATTACCGACTTCAGTTTTACGATCTTCCGCTAATCGATGGCATATTATGGTGGGGCCGGACGGGCGTATGACGCGCGGTGACCTGG